GTCAAGGGAGAGCAGCGCACCCAAGCAGGCGGGGCGCTTGAGCCCTCCCCAGGCTTCTTTTTTCTTTCCTACAAGCGAAGATACAAGATACATACCGATACACCTACATAATTACAGTACGAGCTTGGATATAGCCGTAAATCCCAGTCCCGTGTGACGCAAGGGGAAGGGGACTGCCCAATTCCGGTCCGAGCCTCCTGCACGACAAATCCTGGGTGTGCCACTGCCAAGGAACATATTTATCTATTTGACACTTCCTACATTACATGGCTAGCCTATAACAATAATTTTGTTATATTTTCTTGATTGTCATCCATTAACTCAACTATCACTTTATCATCACCACCAATGGACGAATGTTTCTATGGAGACGGGAGAACAAAATCCGGAACGACAAGACAATACGAAACCAAGCCAGACAAAAAACCAGCAAGGAACTCGAAACATATTGAAGCAAGAATTAGGAGCGGGCATCCCACTTTAAGTCGTGAAAGGAGGGAGTACATACCTCGCGGCCCAGACTCCCCTTAAACACCTACGTATATGTAAAAACTTATCTCAGGCACTAATTTTTCTGACAGACCCATAATTCTGAGTGCTAGCACGATCCCACACCCACAAAGAGCCCTTTTCAAATAATGCAGCTCTAATTTTATGATTGTCTACACACTTGTCAAAATTGGCGGAAGAAACACCACTTGATCGATAAAATTCAGATAAAGGGCCTGTCCCGGGGCTTAGCGAGATTGGAATGCGTCACAAAGGAAACGTGAAGGAATAACTAGGAACGGTAAGCTTGCTCCGTTATTTGCGCTGCTCGAGTGTCACTGTCGGGCCATGTTGACAGGTTTGACCCTTGCCCTTGGCACGTATGTAATCAGATTGATATTGTTCGTGGTGTGTATTGGTCTCAGCTGCTGCAGTATGAGAACAAAAATCACTGTAAACCAATTTTGTCGTTTTGCGTGTGTGCTTGAAACCATAAATGGTCTGATGCTCGGGTGTTTAGGACTAAATTATGTGCTTCTTGTGAGAAATTATCATCATATGTCGTCCTCAAAACTAGGACATCTGTTCGTTAACTGTAGAAAATTTAGTGAGCCTGAATTGGACAGGACACAAACTGGTTGGTTTCCAGACTCACTAATGAATGGAAGAAAAATAATGTAGGCTCAATATCATCCGCCGCCCAAGGGTGCTCGCGTTCTTTAAGTATCACTTAAAACGTGTGGAATTTACCTTGGGATCTTTAGGCCTGCCACTTCAAAAATGAGGAAAGCGAGTGGAAGACGAGCACAGTATCTCTCCTACCAAAATAAGCTTGCAGAGGCCGAACTCGAAGAAACTACCGTCAAGCTGGATCGACAATTCGTGAGTAAACGCTCCGCCTATGAGCTTGAGAGGAGGCAACTAGCCCAAGAGCTCCGTGATCTGTCTCGGGGGAAGAGGTGCATTGGTCCCCGCTCATCGTCAACGCCACCAACTGACACGGAGCGGACAACCTTCAGCAGCACTTCCGGTAATAGGGCTATCAGAAAGATTTCCACACCTTCAAGACTCTTATCAGGAACGCGAGAGCCTGAATTCGCCAGGAGCGATTCTTCGGATGGAGAGACATTCTTCAGACGTCCACGGGCCAAGTCCAGAAGTCTTGTAGACTTACCCGGAGAGCTGCGAAACCTTGAAGGTACACATAACCACGAACTGAGCATGTCCTACGAACGTCTACCGTTTAAAAAGCAGGAATCTAGTTCGCTGAACATGGGAACTTCATGCAAGAAATCGCCGGCGTCTATCTTCTATCACAAGAGCATTTCCACGACCAACAGTCTCCCGCCATTATCGACTTCGGACGGCTTGAATTATTTCCAAGGTTCGTCTACTTTATCGGATAGGCAAAAGGATAAACAACCGATAGTGGGGCCCGACATATTCCGGGTTCCGCGCACCTTTAAGCATGGGACGGTGACCACCCAGCGACCACAGTTACGGCCTTTGAAACTTCTGGGTCAACCCAGTAACCACAGTGAAGAACTGGCGCAGTTGATCTACGCTTCAAATAACGCGCCATTTCCAGAACAAAGGGTAACCGAGGCCTCAAGCGATTATCAACTCCGTTTTGTGTCAGAACCCTGTGCCAAGAGGGTCTTTAGGGGAAGCCAATCGGATAACATCCCTGGGCTCCATCCAACGCCGGGAGAGTCCAGAGTCAATCAGGAGTCGGAGGCAGCCGGCCAGTCATCTCCCCGTGGCCAAAGAGCAACAATGAACGTCGAAATGGAGATAACAAAGGACGAGGCTCCGGAAGATGAAGATATGCAATTGGAACCAAGTTTCCTGAGCCCTAGCATTCCCGATGGAAAGATTGAAACAAACAAGACAGTCAAAAGCGAGTCAGGACAAGTTCAAGCCCCCAAAGGTGACAAACCTCCGACTGAGACGAAACCGACTCTTCATTCCTCTGATTTCCAAATCAATCATTATGGTCAGCTAAGCTCTGATACGTGCACCAATGAGATGCCTGTCACATCCTTGCCACAATCGTCTCAAACTTCAGCATCTCAGCGCAAGACGTCAACTGGTTCTCAGCAGGGTAACAATCTCCTGGGACCGGCTCCGTCTCAGGAGGCCCTCCAGAGAGCTGTTAGGAAAGTCTCCGTCGAAGGAAGTCCTCCGCTGGTCAACATCTCGGCTGCCTTGCACGGGACACTCCGCCGCCCTTGGACGGGACTGGCGGCGTCCATGAGCAGTGCTTTCTTGGACCAGGCCGAGGGGGGCGGGATCGCGCTGGACTCGGATCTAGTGGCAATCTCCAACTTCAATCTCGGCAGGAGGCCGTCGCAAGGTGTGCCGACAAACGCGGCCGAGAGATCCAGAGAGAGGGGATCGATGGCGCTCCGGGGGAACAGGGCACGGCAGGAAGACCCATCCACGGCGGAGGTGATTCGCTACTACCAGGACGTTCCAGAGGCGGCAGCTCTGGCTGGTATCAGCGTGGAGCCTCTGGACTTAACTGAGCTGGAATCCTGTAGATATTTGAGGAAGTACGTTCCGAAGTCCATGAGGGATGGGGATCACACTGACGCAGATGCCTGAATTTGGAAAATACAAGCATAGAGTAACAAATGTCTTGACACTTGGATTAAAAGTGCACAATTTTACCGTTTTCGGTACCAAAGTTCATGTTCCAGACACCTTAGAAGCTACTGTTGTGATGTTACTGAAAAACACTCATCCTAGTCTGTGCATTATCTGTACTTATGAACCCGCCTATCTATGAACCTTAGAGCCTGAGCCAGAAACTGTAGTTTACTATTGAGTCCAGCAAAGTTGTGAACAAAAAAAAAATAAACACAGTTTGTTGTACTTGGTGTTCCGTTCGGTAGTCTTTTATATACAAGTCAGATTTTTACTGATGTTCCTTTTAATTAAGCCTGTTAAATCAACCACTTGAAAATGATTCCCAGTGGGCAAAAGTTAAAATTTCAAGTTTTGTGCCTTATTTCAAATTAAGTTAATTTGGTAATTTGACTTTAAAAATCAGGCAGGCCGGTTAAACTTAATCACGCGATCTCCAAGCAGCAGTTTGCTCGTAAAGTTTGCTTAGTGATTGAATGCTGAAGAAAGAAAATTATTGTGTTCTATATCCGCCAAAATTGCGTCCCATCGTCCCGTCACCTCGACGCCACGACGCGACGATACAACGGGAAGACGCGACGTCACGGCGGCACGATACGACAGCGAGATTAGCCGGCACGACGCGACGGCATCAAGAAACAGCATGACGCGATGGCACGACGCGATGCCACGGCGGCACGACGCGATGCATTAATCACAGCGTAAAAGTAACGAGAAAGGAGGCGACGCCACGATGCGACGGGACGCAACGGAGCCGTTGTAGTGTCGCGTCATGGCGTTGGGGCGACGGGACGAAACGACGCAGTTTTGGCAGTTGTAGAACACCATAGAAAACTATTGTGCAAAGGCTCAAACTGAAGGCAAAGCCGCATCTCAAGAATTCCACACATAAAAAACCTTAACAGGAGGAACGCCAGGAGAGAAAAAAAATCACACGATGAATTTAATTTCGATGAAAAACAGTGAACCTGGAGAAAAAGCTATTTGATATTACATATTGCAGTACGATGTGTTCATGATCATTTTGACTATTTAGTAATCCAAGACAAAATTCATCTGTTCTTCCATTTTCCTTCAATGCAAGAAATGCACAAGGACTTTTACGGACCTCTGCTCTTAAAATACCTTTTTCTAATAAGGACTTCGTGAATAAGGATTTAATCCCCCATATCTCTCCTTCGTGAAAAAAAATTACAATAAATTATACCCAAGGTACCGACGATAGCTTTCATTCCAGTTACTTAATGGCGTGGAATTAAAAACTCAAAACATGACGCAAACTGTGACCTGGCTGAAGCAGACAGCATCATTTGCATTCTGTTTGACGTCCTTTGTTGTCCGCCATCTTTGGCTTCGCTTTGTTCACGATTCGGCTAACGGAGTACAAATTGGATTTTTTTAAAGGCTCCAGCTTAAATTGTTACCATTTGCACCAGAATGAAATCGCCTATGCTTATCTTCAACTCGCAACCGCAGTGGTTTCAAAATATGGCCGTTAACACCGACGACTAAATGCATTTGCAGAAGGCGTTATAAGCAGTAAAAATGCCGGCAATACCAGCATTTTGACGGGATATGCCGAGACGCTTTAATTTAACTACTTGATATCTGGGGATATGTTGCAAAATTATAATGGATTTTTACCCTCCCAGCCCATGCCAACCTCTCCAAAATGCTCAACCGGCATCGAAACTAAGGACTTTAATACCTGCGGCACGAAACGTATTACACCAGCGTGAAATACTGACAGAGAAAACAACGACCAACAAGAAATCCTTGAGCTTATGAGGTTCTGACATGTGCGCAGGTCTGTTGAAACAACATGCTGGTAGTTGATTGCTTTCGTGGAACCATTTTGTGGTTGACTGCTTGTGACGGTTTACAACAGAGAAAGAACACTTGTCAAAATGCTTGAAAATGCAGTATTCTTTGACATCAAGGAATGATGTTTAGGGCATGGAGTCCCATTTACTGAAAACAGTGAGAAAAGAAAAATTGTCTCTTCCTTTCCTTCATTCGAATGTTTGAATTCGTCATTTTTTTTCCACTGAAGCCTGCATTAGCGAAAGTTTACCCAGATATCGGCAGCGCTTACTTTAACGGGCATCTTACCGCAATCCAAAATGGCTACCACCTATCGCTGAGACTGGTGGATTGTCTCCTGGGTCCGTACACAGCAGATGACATCAGAGCCTCACCAAGCCATGAAACTGTGGCAAAAGTCCCTGGTGCTCATGCTGGCACTATTCATCTACCTCTTGCTCGGGGCGGTGGTATTCCGATTCCTGGAGTTGGGAGCCAACGAAGAGGCCCAGCTCGTTTTCTTGGGGGAGGTGGAGGATTTCTTGGAGAACCACACCTGCGTCTCTGCGGACGACCTCCGGGAACTCTTCCAGGCGGTGGAGACGGCTCTACTCAGTGGGGCCTTCAAGTTGGACAGCGACCCAACCAACGATAGGGACTTGGTTGTCTGGGACATGCCTGGTGCTGTGTTCTTCACAACCACTGTAGTGACCACTATCGGTAAGTCAGTATCACTTTTTTACAAAATAGTTCTCCGTATTGCAGAGCAAAATAAGAAACAGAGGGCATAATCGGGCTTTCCTTGTTGCGTTATAATACCAGGTTTGTTTGTTCATCATTATATACCATCGTTATTGCCAGTGCAAATTTCTACTTAATTTAAAGCGCTGAAAATTACAGTTTAAGCTTAGGATTTTATTTTATGCTTCCAAAGGATGCGTTATTGTGTTCGTTTGAAAGGGTGATATTTTTCCGACGGTTTGGTGTATACATAACTCCATACGCTCAGTAACTTTTGGCATTTACGTGTGCTCTACAATTTCAAGAAATGAAAGAGAGGAAGAAAAAGCCAATAAGAAATCGAACAGGTATGAACCTTTCAACTATTTCTTTCAGGTTACGGTAATTTGGCACCAAAGACCTCCATCGGGCGGGTTGTTTGCATGTTCTACGCACTGGTGGGCATCCCGCTGACGTATTGGCTTCTCTCCGCGGTAGGTGATACGTTTCAGGGATGTTGGCGACCCTGCCACGGTCTGATTCGACGGTGCACCAAGCACGTCAAGGCCGGTAACGCCCGGACCGTGGTCGAGGTTGTCATCATCTGCATCTGTCTGTATGTCCTCATTGTGGCCTTACCGGGAATTGCCTTCGCCTACCTGGAGCACTGGAACTTCTTCCAGTCTCACTATTTCTGCTTCATCTCCCTGAGCACCATAGGCTTCGGGGATTTCGTGCCGGCCGAGAACCCGGCTCTGACCCCTCTCTCCAGGTGGGTGTATAAGCTGGGTACCTCGGCCTATCTCATCATAGGGCTCAGCATTCTATCTGTGGCCATCAAAGGCTTCATGGCCTCACAGCAGACCAAAATTAACAAGTGGAAGGCGAAGACTGCGGCCAAGAGACTGGTGCAGTTACACCAGCAACAACACCAGCCGCATCAGCAGCAAGAGGAACACCAGCTAGCTACTGAGCATGCTCAGGAGTGCAACGGTAAACATGCGACAATCAAACTGAATAACCCGTGCACGAGCGGATAATATTCATCAGAGAACATTGTTTTTTTAATTAAATTAATTTACCAAAGACTATATTTGGGATAACATAAAAGGGATTCTCATATTTACGCGTGATATACAATTGTTATGTAGGTTAGTGTTTCTACACCAAGCACTAGAATGTATTACAATGAATTCTAAAGATGGTTTTAAAAGTGAGAAGAACCGTCAGAATTTGATTAATTTTGCTAACAAGAATGAAGTATTATTGGACCTCTTTGTACGTCACACAAAAATCTAAAAGACTGGAAGCAAATTTCCTTACCTCCACAAAACATTGCCACTGTTTTTCAGTTTTGTCTGGACATTTCAGGAGTGGTATAGCGATAGTTAAGATTGAGCTTTGGAGGTCAAAGTTCATATCCGCTTTAGTCAATGCTTTTGTTCGTTTTTATATTAATAATTGATTTTAAATTGTTAACTGTCTTAAGAGTTTTCTTTTTTTGTTCGACATAATAATTGTGAGTTAATGAGCAAACTTTTTTTTAGTATGTTATACATTTGGTTTAACTGTGTATACAGAAAACTACACAATTGCGCGTGAATCATAATTATTAACGTGAAGTGAGTCGGGAGTTAGCGCCCTCAGGTGCCTGTAACGGAGGTAATTTAACATGCCGAAAATGGGACTTCGTAATAATTTAAACAATGAACTGCTTTTAATTTTCACTGAAATCAGAGGAGTTGATGTTTGCACAGAATGCATTCCTTTGTAAAAAAAAAGAAAAATGTGTACAGTCGGGTCGGTTTGTATCCGTCAGTTTGTTTAAACACGCCTGGATTCCGTTAGTTGTCAGATCGCAGATCTTGCTCAGCAAGAGCTGCTTTAAAGAAACCTTAGAGGCAGACAGTTCAGACACTTCACGCAGAGCAATATCTTGCTGCCTAAAACCAACCAGGGTAATGACATGGACCTGCTCTGCAGCAATATCCCTCCCTCAGTACTGGAGACTCATTTCGTCACTAACAGGAACTTAATGAGAATGACCCCCCCTGCACCGCTGTTTTAACACAAACCTCCAACAGGAGGTTGGAATCCACAACCTGTCCCTATGTTTGGTCACACCCCTCGAGGGCTGCGGCAGTAGATGTACGGGTAGAGCCAGGCATGGTCATTCCATCTTCAAACCAGAAACTACAAACTAGCACTTGCTTCTGAAACTGTCTCATTTTATCCATCTCAATGTGCACGACGCAGAGTCCTCGCGCATGAATGCGGCTAGGCTATACAGTACAGCAGAGATCACATATAGCAGTCTGCAACCCCAGAGCATTACAGTAAACCACGGAACTGAAATGGTCCTTGCTGTCTAGGGCGTGAAGTAACCTCAAGAATGAAGAGTTAGTTTTCATTCAGCGAGCTTGGTCATTCGTTCATCAGTGCTAAAGACTGGTGTGGCGAAGTTCAGACATTCTCGCTGATGTGGACTGAGCATGCAGACCAGTGGAAAATAATGAACGAATTATTACCAGAGACCCAAGGCCTGGGCGTTGTGGCTCTTGGTGTTTCATAGTACGTTCCTGATTTTTCACAGTAGAATATGTACATAGCTCTCCTCTTTTGAGTAGATTCAGTCTTCATTTGACGGGGTGATATATGGCAGTGACCTGCGGAGTCCAGCGGCACGTTTGTAACCAAGCTCCGTTGCAGTGACGCTGCACCGCAGGAAAACAGACAATACGAATTTTTGAAAGTTCATACAAGTTTTTTATTTAAGTTGTTTAATATCATTTAAGAACTGGTGTTATTTGTACAAGACTTATATTTGTTGAAGAACGGCATAGAGGATTGCACGTTGCAAAATCAATTTTAAAAGTACATATTGTACTCAAAACAATAAACTACTCATTTTGTAAGATACAAGGGGGTCATTGCACTGGGGGCTTTTTATACTTGTCACTGAATTTATCATTCGCACTACAAAAACCTGGTATAATTGTTGCATACTTTTCTAAACGCTGTATTGATATCAGTTTGCAAACATGTGTACAAAGTTGAAGGAGCAGTGGCCAATATGACATTTTAACAGTTAATTAAACAAAGTAACATTACACCTTTTTATCACTAAAGCGGAGAGATTAATAACAGAGCAGGAAGTCGTTTATCCTAATCATGATGCTCACAGCTAAAGATCGACGTCTCGTCATTTTGGTTCTGAAAAAAAAACCTTTCAGTATATACGAGTATGACCAGGATTTTTCCAAGGATGTTTGTTTAGATGTTATGCAGCCGCGATATACCCCATGCATTTTGCCTTAAAGGTCATTTCTACCTGGTGCGAAAGACAGTGCAAGGGCAAAATTGTAGGCCTAATGTTGAATCATACACTCTTTGAACACGGTGCAACTATAAGGCCGGTTCATACCTAACGCGAATGCGAAAGCGAAGCAAACTGGACGTTATGAAAGATTTGCAGCGAACTTTCGCTGAGTTGAATGTGTTCAACTGTTCAAAGAATGTGAATGTGTTCAATTTATTGTAGCGTCACATATTTGCGGTAGTGTTCACTTGAGCGTGTTTCTGGCTTTAACAGAGCGCATGAACAATAAGGGTAGTTTAACATCCGTCATGCCATATTATATCACAGGCAGATGTGGAAGTGAAAGGAATTTGACGTCACGAGAGATTTGTGGCAAAGTTTTGCTCGAGTTTCAGATGTATCCACATTTTGCGAATTAACAGCGCAAATATTAAGATATGACGTCAAAAATTTGCGTTGAGGTGTTCCATTTTGCGTGAAGTATGAACCGACCTCGAAAGGGTACACTTTATTCCTTTGGGTTATCAAAGAAGTTGGGTTTCCTATTCATTGTGTTTAGTCAACGAGTTATCAAGGTCGACATGCAACACAAACCCCTCCCCCAAATCTGCAGGCAATGTTTGGGGTGGAGGCAGGTGGATCAGGGAGAGGGAGGTTAATTGGGGGGGGGGCGGCAACGGGGGCCATGCCCCCCCCCAAAAAAACAAGAGCCAAACATGAAGGAAGGGTGAGTTTTTTTAATAGTTCATTTCCTTTTCCTTCTTTCCAAATCAGACAAATGCACAAAAACTCCCTCCTCAAAAAAGGCAACATTTACATTTGAAAATTCCAAAATTTTGCCCTCTCCCTAAAAGACCCCCATCCCTCCGAAAAATGGGTTCTGCGTTAGTGGCATAAATTTTGAACGAAATGGGGGATGGATAATGTGGGAGGATGACTTACTGGTAACCTGAAAAGTGTGGGGGGGGGGATACTGACACCATTTGACGCCATGGGGGCAATATTCGTGATACCGATATACATGTGTATCCGTAATATGAATCGTATTCCTAATCTTCCAGCAAAACGACATCGTTGTGTCTTTTTAAATTATCCTCCTTGTTGAGTGCAATAGACTACATTTTGGATGTTGATAAGTCCGAAAAATTGTGTGTAATAGAGCCTGAAAGTTGACCCCCGATGGCGCGCTTCCGGAAGCCTTGGATAGCACAAATAACGTTCAAAGACTTTGGAATTTGTAATATTTCTTTTTTCAGTTTCTTCTATTAAAATCCTACTTGGGAAAAGGGCTTAGAAAAACATTTGCCAGTATATCAATTTATAGAAACCGAAAAATTACCTGATTTAAAAGAGAAATGTCCTGCCAAAAATTGACCCATAACTTCCGAAAATCTAAAATACATGAGGCAGTCTCGTACGCAGATGCACATTAACGATTTATAAGTTTATGCTCGTCTTTGTGTAAGAGCCGAATTTATTTATACGGTAATAAACAAAGCATTATTCTACTTTACGAAAGATTGGAATATTTTATTTAACCTTTGCTGACAACAACTGCGTGATTTCAAATCAACAGAATCTGGAACCCATTGACTGCAGGTAGGTCAATCCTTGCAAGGTTGTACAATCTCGTTTTCAAGAAAGCACGACGAGTGAGAGACGCCGGACTCCGTGAAAGGTCGTCAATAAAATTCGTTTTTTACCCATATCCATGTGACTTTTCCAAAATAAATTAATTGAGGAAGACAAAGGTAAAAATCCAACATGAGTATTTCATGGGGTGGTTTCAATAAGCAATTATTCTTCCAAACATTATCGAACGTGATAGGAAAATCCTCATCGGCAAACCGCGCAAGGGTTCCGGAAGCTTGCCGCGTGATCTTTTACTTTCAGGCTCTATCCCCATTAATGTTTCTCTCACCATGAAACATGACAGTGGGGGAGGATTCAATAGCGCATCCCCACGGACAAACATCTGGGGGATATATACCTCCATACCCCTGGCAGGGTGTGCTTACGGTTTGACTCGTCACAAATGGGGTAAGGGAGTGCTGAATATAAATTGACACTAGGAGGCGCTACAGAGGACCGACGGGATTGAACCACTGATCTCTGTACGCTGGATAGGCAACTCAGCGTAAGTGCCTATTTGTGAATTGAAGTGACTGCACGGCCATGTTAGGATATTCAATATACGTGTACATGTAATTCCCCTCCAATTTCAGTCCATTCACTAAGTGCATTCATGCACTAAGTGCATTCATGCACGGTGCTCTAAAGCCGGTGACATTATGAACATCTAACAAAAGAAGCGCGCTGCAATAACAGTGGACGCTCATTGTTTGTGAACTTGTTTCTTTTGTTAGATGTTCGTCGTGTGACATGGAAACTGCCATATTGTATTGAATAGCCCAAGATGGCCGCGCAGTCGCTTTAATTCGCAGAGCAGAGCTGCCTATCCAGTGCATAGAGATCAGTGGATTGATCGAAATTCATTAACGATCTGCCTCGTGATCTCCTAGCGACATGAACCACGGACGTCATAAAGTATAGCTAGGACCTTGTTTAGCCCACATAATTACGTCATTGAAGCCACTGGCGGCAATCATAAGGAGCCAATAAAACAAAAGCTTGCACTCCATTGTTAACCAAATCGTTCGTGACAATAATAACAGCAGTGGCCTACAAGCGGACGATCACCTTCATAACATGCACTCGACAGGGGCCGTCCATAAACTACGTACATGTATATGTACGCCCAAAAGCCATATTTTCAGACCCCCCCTTCCCCTGTGCGCATGGCGTACGCAGTGGCTCCACCCCGTCCCCCTGTACGCATGCGCACTCTACAATCCTGGAAGACGCTGCCGGTCTTTGTGATATGAGTAATGTTGCGGTTTACTAATAATGGGCTTTGCATGGTATGGAAGGATAAATGGCGATGTGGACGGTAGGGAATACTGTGTTTGAATTTTGACGCACAAAAGCTGATTGCGGTAGTTATTTGTATGAAAAAGTTTATTAATAGGCCTATGATGAAGATTAATTGCAGGCCAATTTTCGGTTTGCGTAGGGTACGTACTGGCTTGACCCCCTGTACCCATAGTGTACGCAACGGCACCAATCCCCCCCCCCTTATGCGTAGGGCCCGTGCTTTATGGACGGCCCCGGCTAAGATAGTTGCTGGTCGCTTTAGTCGATACCAAAGCACCGTACCCGTCCCCCGTCCAGACTTTTTATATGACGTGAATGACATGGACGTCGCGAGGGGGGCAGAGGTGGTACTCCCACCTCTCCCAAAAAAATTAAAATTAAAGGAAATAAATTAGATTTTAACAAAAAGGGGACTAAAAGAGAAAGAAAGGATGAATTGAAATAAAAACTCTACTTTGGGTAGAAATCATCTGAAATGTCACCTTTCCGTCATCCATTGTTTGCCATTTTGCTGCCGATGAAATTTCCTTCCCCCGTGCTCTCGTCACTTCAATTGTGACTCAGTATTCAGGAAGTATGAAATTCTGAGATCTTTTTTGTTTCATACGAAGCAGCGCAAAGGCAATCCTCTCGCTTACGTCACCTAAAAGATATCTGTTAGGTGCGACCACGATCCAGAGCATAGACTGCATCCAAATCTGTTTTTTTAGGGAGATGTTACGTCCTAACTCCATTAGTTATACAAGGATACGCGCAGACAATAGGCCTAGCAACATAATGACTGGTATAAATTTTGCCTCGTTACATGGGGTTGCAGGTACATTCCTTTGTGTTGTGTTTCACATAGCTACACCAGCAGTAAAAGCAGATTATTGGTACCTGTAACTTTCCCATGTTCTCTTTTGAATATTTTATCATCAAAACGTTTCAGTTTGTTGGTTACTTAAATCATTCATTGCGCAACAGTACTCTCCAGTCGCATTTTTTTCTTTTGGAAAACACAAAATTTTGAAATCAATTCCACTTATCTCGAGTGTAAAATTGATTGCGTTCAGTGGTTTGGCCTAGTTATTTGAATTATTATTCTGTTCATTTCTTTACTTATCCTAAGATCAGCCATTTAGTTAACTTTTTTCGGATGACTTTATTATTAAATCAAAGGGGAAAACAGTTATGACAAAACCGAAAGTGATTAATTGAAGGTCCATGAAAGGGGGTTTTTATTAGTTATAATTGAAAATTGTTCGTATTTAAACGATATCCAAAATGTGAAAGTTGCTGATTTGATTAATTAATGCGATTAATAAATACGAGAAGTTTTAAGTTTTAGGCGAAACGTTCCCGTACATTTGAGAAGACATCGTCGCACGTCGCTAACGCATTTATGCTTGTCTTGGGTCGAGTCCACAAAATTCAGTCCAATATTTGGGTATTTACAGATTATACCGAGCAAAAATACATCTTGAAAATAGTTCGCGGTACCCGCTCTTTCACGTGACTCGGACCGGCCAGCCGACCCCGGCCAGCTCGGTGGTCGAGTGGTTAAGACGTCTGCATTAG